GTTAAAATGATCCTTAATGCTTATAGTAAAATTGTTTATAGAAATATCTGGTAATTTAGTTGAGTTGTTGTCTATTTGAAAGAATAGTAAATCCAGTTTTAATTATATAATGCTCATAGTTGAGAGAAGTAGTTATTAAAAATATCTCAGTAAAGATCAGATAGATTGGAAAGTTCAAAGAGTTGTAGAGATAAACCTTAAAAAGAGAAGTGATTACAGAGTTGTAAGATGATGTCTGCTATCTGTTCATGTATTGTTATTAATAGTTAAATAGTTTAAAATTGATCTAATTCTCTCAAGGCTGTTTGGATTTCATTAAGACTTAAAGAAAGGTTTGGTTTAGTATTTTCTTTTTTTGTAGTGTTATTGATTGAGATCCATTTTGTAGGTAGTTGGTAAAAAAAGTAGTATGTACAGAGTTGTCTAACAGTTTCTACTAGGATTTTAGGGCTTGTAATAGGGAGTGTTAAGTTAAGCTCAGTAATCAAAATAGGTTCTGTAGATAGTTAAGGTTTGTTTGTAGGGTTAACAGTTATATACTCTAGTGGTAGTAGGATGTTGAATTTGTATATATCTTGTATTTTAGCTAAAAATTCTTTTGCCATATAATAATTAGTTATAGGAAAATTATAAGTAATAGAGGTTTTGATTTAATTTGATTCCTTTGGAAGTAGTTTTTTTTTGAATGAAGTATTCATTTGGAATTTTGTAAAAACTATAATGCTCTCAGAAAATGTTTACATAATATTTAAAATCAGTTGAATCTTTAGAGTTGCAAGAAAAGAGATATCTTATAGTTGAATTAAGTTTTTAAGATGTTGATAGTAAGGGTTCCTAAGTAGGTGGTAGGTTAAAATAATTAAATGGTATATGATCAAAGTCATAATATTTGTGCAGTTTTTGTCTATATTCTGCTAAATAGGGTAATTCAGATCAGCTTGTTATTGGAAACATTGCACATGTTTCTGCATTTAGATTAGTTGGATTGTCAAAAAGAGAAATGATAGGATTAGCAAAGTAGCTGTTATTGAGTTGATCAAAAGTGTAGATTTTATAAAGTGCTAGCATTGTTGCTTGAGTAAATTTTCGATCTTCAATTAGAAGTAGAAAAGGAAGTATTTTTTTTATGTTTTGGTTGATTAAATCCGAGGAAGTTGGTAGTGGAATAAGAAGTTAAGAGTATGCTTCATTAAGAAGTTTGCATGTTTCTTTAAAGATAAGTGCACAAGAAATTTGTGCAAGGTTGAGACAGTAGAATATGTGTCTTGTACATTCATAAGAACTTGTTATAAGGAAATCTAGATTTCTAATATAATCTAAAGCAAGTTTGATTTTGAGTTTTTTGTGAATTTGATCTTTATTAACTTTGTTGTTCAAAATAGCATTGTGTAATTTTTTGTATTTTTTGAGAGCAATTTGATATAGTGAGTTGAATTCTTTTTGATATTAAGGAGCTGTAGCTCTTGTTTTTGTAAAGGAACAAAAGAATGCTATATCTAGATAATTGAATTTTTGGTTAATAGCATATGAGATATTATGATTTAAAGAAATAGTTTGGATTTTGTGAGTAAAGAATTCCAAAAGTTGTTGTTTGTTATTAAGGGCTTCAATTATTTTATTATTGTTCCAAGTTTGAAGATCAAAGTTAAGTACTCATCTTGCAGCAAGAGCTTTAGTTACAAAATTACACCAATCGAAAGTTGTGTTGTTTTTTGGTTTTAATAAGTTGAATGTTAATGCTTTGCTATATGATTGCTTGGTAATTTGTTGATAATCTTTAGAAGTATTAAAAATGGTGTCTATATTGTTAGTATGCATAGTTAACATAGAGGTTGATTAAGTTAGTAGAGTTTCTGTAAGTATAATTGGTTTAGAGTTTTATAAGTTGTTTTCTGGAATAAAACTATTAGGTAAAGATGCCAAATATAATGGATTAGGTAATGTGATAATAAAGTTTTGGAGTGTGGAAATATTCGCATGTTTGTTTTGATAGCTGTAGTATGTAATGTTATTTGAGATTTTGTAAGAGGTAAACTGGATTGCCCACTTTTTGTTAAATTTTTTCAATAAGAATAGGGTGTAAAAAAAACAAGAGTTAGAGTTGTTAGTTTTATTTTTTTTAAAGAAGGGAAGTTTGTTTCTAGTTCTGCATTTTTTTTAGGTCTTTCATTTGAAAAAGTTTAAGATGTAACTAGTATAACTTAGGTGTTTAGTTAAACTAAGGCCCTATAGAGATCCATCTATGAAGGTAGCAGTACTGAGTCAGTGTTAAGGAAAGTTTTGAAGTCTTGTAGTTTAGTGGTTAAGGTTCTTTGTCTTTTATCTATGTTGGATAAATCTTAGATATTCTGAAACTTTATTTTTTCTCTTTTTAAGTATCTTTTGTTCTATTTTAATTAATACATTCAATATTTTAGTACCAATTTTGTTTACTTTTTTGTTTTTTTAGTGATCTATAAAAAGAGTTTTTTGGCATATGTATAAGTTATGTTTGTATTGTTGTATTGTTTATACAATTCTGATTCAAAAATAAACACTGCTAACTGTTTTGATATTTTATATATAATTTTTTGAAAAGAGTAAACTAATTACCTATTTTTTACAAAATTTTTATAAAAAAAAGTAAAGGTGTAAGATGAATCAAACTTTAGCTTTTGTAAATGCTTAACTCTTTTGAAAATTCCTTGTAGATTTTACAATTATATAGAAATAATATATTCAACTTTGTTGTTTATTTTATAAGAGACTTATAGCTTTTACTGACCACTTCTTCTATAGTTTTAAAGTGCTTTTAAACTATTATTACAAAGTAATAGCTTCTTTTTTAACTCTATTTTAATGCCTACTATGTATGCTTAGTACTTTAAAGAAGTTTTTATAAAGTTTAATATATATATATATTTTTTTTAATATTAAGATAAGTACTTGCAATTTAGGATTTTATTAATAGCATATTTGGCTAATAGTTGTATTACAACTATAAGAAGCAATCATGAAAAAAGTGTACAACTAGTCATTTGTATAACTTTAGTTATTATCTGATTTAAGTAGTTTGGCTGAAGGTTCTACATTAGCTGTCATATCTAAAATCTGCTTGTAAGTTCTCTATTTAAATATTCTAGTTTCTGTATTAATTTATCTATCTCTGTCTACTAATAATTCTGGCCAATGTCAGTAAAAATATGCCATGGCTATTAAGTTTTTAAAGCAGTTCACTCACATACTAAACCTTTCAAAATCTTCTGTATTTTATTTTTATAGCTGACCTAGTATTACTATAGCTAAACCCAATATTTGCAATTAGGGTATACTATTAAATTACTATACCTTTGTAGAGTTTACTCCAACCTCAGTACTACCTTTACAACTTATCTCTACTATTTTGGTATTCAATTCAAGTTTTACTAAGCTCTCAAACCAAATAGCCCAAAAATGTAGATTGTAATTATACCTTTAGTTTATAGGTTTGGGTCAAAATCCTAACAAACAAAATTTTGATAGATCAAAATCCTGACAAAAAAATCCTAATAGCTAAAAATCCTGATAGTCAAAAATCCCAACAGTTAAAATTCTAACAATTAAAAACTTTGATAAAAAATATAATAGACTATAGCAAACCTTATTCCAACCATTATCTAAAATAATCTAACTCTAAAATTAATTAAATTATAAAAGCCTATTTCATTTTAAACATATCTCATATTTGGAATTTTCTACCTAAAAATTCTGGCTGTCAGAATTTTTGATTGTTGAAATTTTTTTGTCAGGATTATAACTTGTCAGAATTCTGTTTGTTAAGATTTTGACCTGCACTCTTAGTTTATATATTCTTTGACATATAATCTTTTTCTTCAAAACAGATCCTAATGGCCTAGCTGGTTTCATTTGGCCTCTTTTTAAAGACTGACTTTTTGCTTAGCTTTATAAGTTTTAACTTCATTTTATAAGTCTAGTTTTTACAGTAGTACTGTTGAAAGTTTAAACTACCTGTCTACTCAGGTCTTTCAAATAGACTTCTGTCTTCTTACATAGGTCAAATAAATCTATACTAATGTAATATCAGAAAGCTGATTTTAAATGAAAGTTAAACTATAGTTTAATAATATTATAATAATATTTAAATCTAATATGTTATTAATATAAAACAGAAATTTGACAGGAATAGGATACTTTTTAGAATTATATCAAACAATTTATAATATTCTTTCAGTATTAGTTCATTTAACCAATATTTAATATTGGTTTATCAATAACTTAATCATATTTATAATACTAATTATATAAAAATAATATTGGTAACTTTTAGAACACTTATCATAAGCATATTAGAATTCTGATATTACTATATTTAAAGTGATTGTTTTTGTTTGTTATTGCTTTACTGTATTAGACATTACTGAAACATTTTTGATTAAAGCAATAAAACTAAATATACTTATAAAACATTTTATTTAAAAGCAATATTACAATTTTAAAAAAAAGCAATAATACAAAAGTTATACACAATTTTAAACAAATTTATAATGCTAGCAAAAACACTAATATATTTTTTCTAATTTATTGCTTTCTATTCATCAGTAATAATAACAGTTTCTTTAGTCTCTTCTTTATTTGTATCAATATTATTTGTGTTGTTATTACCAATATTACCACTACCACTTGCTGTGGCTTCTTCTTTATGATCTAATTCATTTACTCTATCATCATCAACATCTTCTTCATTATTATCATTATTATCATCTTCTTTATCTTCATCTTTAGAATAATATAAAGTAGATATAATCCAGATGGAGCATTAGCTAGTAGCCTAGAATTATCCACTTAGCTCATATCATTATACTATTATTTTCTAATACACTTAATATACAAAATATTTCCACCTACTTGGTTAGTGAGCTGCATAATTTTTTAATCTAATTTATATAGAATAAAAAAGATAAAATAATAATTTTTAATTAGAATAAGAGAAATGCTATTTACACTATTAATTTTTATAAATAATGCATATAATATGTAGATTATAACTATAATTAGTAGAAATAATAATTATTAACCCACCAGGATCTTCATCATTTATCCTTAACATGAAGTATCTGATTATCTTCATTACTTTTTTTGAATTTGTAATGAATATTTTGTTAGTATTCTATTAGAGCCTGTTTAATATCAGTTTTAGAAACTTTATCTGAATAGAAGTCACTATTATTAATTATGTACTTAATATTATCTTTAAACTCATCCCAACTCATTAAAAAAGAAAGTTTTGAGAGTTTCTTATTATTAGTATTAAGCATATAACTAATATCTCAGATATGTCTTCATTTTTTCTATAAAATAAATAGATTATCTATAATTAATATTGGTAAATCAGTATTTTTATTAAAATAAAAAAAGAATTATAGACCTATTTAGTTACTTATTTAACTAAAATAATATTGCAAATTATATTAAATTGTAGTATATTAGTATTATATTAATAGTATTACTATTAATATATAATTAAAAAGTGTGGTGACTTAGTGAAGTAGATAAGTTGTTATACCCCCAAGTAATAGGTTGTGAGTTCAAAACCTACTGATGGTAAAATTTGGATAATTACCTATATAATATATAGATAATATTACAGTAACAGCATTCTGTCAATCAGTTAGAATAGGATATCTGTAACTATGATTATACCAGCATAACTAACAGGTTTGGAGCATCTGTGTAATCTGTTACACAGAGAAATGCAAACTGGTACCAAGTGGTACAAACCTAAAATAAGTCATCAGGCCATATGAATTTGTAAAAATAGGAAGCTGAAGCTCACTTGAAAATTCTGAGCAGAGAGTTAACATGAATCTTCAACAGTACTACTATAATACTAGACCTAGAAAATGAATACCAATGTAAAGAATTCAAGCAGGCAAGAACCTCAGATAAGAGGTACTACCAACCAGGCCACCAGATTTCAGACTAGAAAAAAAGGATATTGGGCTGGCCTTAATATATCAAGGACAGATTACAGTCCTTCTAGGCTATCTGAATTAGGAGTTTGGGTTCAAAGCAGAGGTATACTAAAAGTACTAGAGATATGATGTAAAGTCAGTACTGAGGTCTAGGTAAACTCTATAAGGGTAGCCTGTATTAGTGTTCTAAAAGTGGATAGATAGTTAACAATAGGGGGCCCCTTGCATCTTATTGGCAGATGATGTACTCTAAAATATATAATAGCCTAAGAACTAGTACAAAAAGGGTAGGTAACCATACTGCTCAGATGGTATATCGGTTAGGTATATACAGAAGGTAAGTTGGAGATTCTAATATAATAAGACAGATGATCAGAGGGTTTAAATAGATAATCTCCTAGTAGGTTATAAATATAGCATCTAGTGTAGAACCTTAGAGTGAACTACTTAAATAGGCACCAAAAGTTGCAAATATAACTAGCTGTACTCTTGCCTCTGTAAAAGTAGTTGTAATAACTAACTTGATATAAGTCAATAAAGTATCACCACAAGTATAGCCTTTAACAACAAAGAAAAAATATATATAATTAATATAATACAATTTTATATAACTGGCAAAGTTATTTTAGTAGAATAAGCAATTAAACTATACTTACTTCTTGGCACCTTCTATTTATTTTGGTTTTTTTTTTGTTATTATAAAAATTTTTAAGATCTTGATTAATTCTTCAAATTTCATATCGATATTGATGAAAGCTTTGGAAAACATATTTTAATTTACTTAATTTATATCTAAAATTATTCTCTAAAATCTTATCTACTGCAAGTATAATTTTCTTGAACATGTGATGAAATATATATACTGTAGAGCACTGCCCAAAAGACCTGGAGTCTAATACAAAAACTCTAGCAAAAAACTTACAAAGTACCCATGGGTATCTCATTTGGTAATGGGTACTTTGTACAGTAGAATCATTTAATAGAGGGGTATCTTGTACTGGAGGTATCTTGTGCTGGGGATATTTTGTGTAGAGGTATTTTGTGTAGAGGTATTTTGAGCCAGGGGATATTTATAGACAGAAGTTTGTCAGATTGGCTAATAAATTCAATTTAATTTTACATTATTTATACAGTTTAGAGTACTTTTAAAAAAATGAAATCCAATCATAATAAAGTAAAAAAAAACATATAGAAGGGTTCATTAAAGTTGTAGGACTCTATAGCCAAAAATAAGATCTAATTCTCATCTGTTTAAAAAAATTAGCTTAGTAAAAAGTTGATTTTATCAGGTTTTGAGAAGGTATTACTATACCAACTTTTTTAAATGGATGAGAATTAGATCTTATTTTTGGCTATGAAGTCCTACAGCTCTAATGAAACCTTTTATATGTTTTTTTTATTACTATTATAGTTGGTTTTCATTTTTTAAAAAAGTACTCTAAATTGCATAAATAATGTAAAATTAAATTGAATTTATTAGCTAATTAGACAAACTTCTGCCTATGAAGGAAATATTTTATAGAGGAGTATTATACACAACACATACTGCATAAAGCAGCATAGTACAGGTAATATAAAAGTCATCTTGTTACTAGATTTGCCTCCGAAAGAAAAATTTTTTTGAATTATAAAACAAGAACAATAAGTGATGAAGTCTACACCTGCTACCTCGAATTTGAGTGGAAGCAAATTCTAGCTCTTTTCATCATTTAACTTCTTTATAGTCCTGCAGTTTAGAACCACTAGAAATCAATTGCTTATTTCTTTGTTGGCAAGTTCAATTTTTTTTTAATTTTTTAAAGAGTATCTGCTTTCAAATGGCATCATACCAATGTACAACACATAAACTTAAAGGACTTTGCATATTTGCCAATGCAAATATACACTACATAATAGTCTGTGGAATGCAGAAGTAAATTCACTAGACTAATATAATTAAACAAAAAAAAAAAAGAAACTGAAAAAAAAGAAAAAGAAAAAAGAAAAAAAAGAAAAAAAAAGAAAAAAGGACAAAGAAAAGCTGTAATATATATATACAAATCTATACCTTGTAATCCAATATTCACAACATCTATCTTTAATGCCTAATACATAAAGGTTTAAGTGTATAATAGTCCATGGAAATCTCAATACTCAGCATGCCTGGTTAACAAGTCAAAAAAAAAAAAGATCATGGTCAGACATGAAAAATTAATGATAATTGCGTACTATGAAAAGAGACATAGTAAATGTGCAAGTGCTAAAGAATTTCAAATAGAACCCAAACAACTTTGAGAATGGATCAATAAAAAATCTGACCTTATGAAGATTGCACCATACATTCAGAAATTGTTAATTGGAGTTAGGCCAAAATACTCTGAACTCAAGGCTGAATTAATTGTATGGTTTCAGGACCTTTGATCTCATCAAAAAACTGTTAGTCAGTATATGATTCAAGCAAAGGCTCATTTTCTTTGAGTTACTTCTCACTTTCAAGAAATGTATTAAGGAATTGGAAATCATAAATTTTCACAAAAATGGGTGGATGGATTCATAACAAGGAATAATTTAGTAAACCAAAGGTGCACTACAACTGCTCAACATCTCTCAGAAAGTTACATTGAAGATCAAAATGAATTTTTATTTCTTGTATTTTCAAACATCATAAATATAAGTACCTCTTGTCACTAATCGGTAATATGGATAAAACTGCTTGCCTTTAACATAACAAATAATACCACTATTGAAACAAAAGGCACTAAAACTATTGCAATTGCATCTACTGGTCATGAAAATTTGAACTTTACTGTTGTTTTAGCCTGCTTGGCTGATGGTACTAAGCTTACTTCTGTAATCATTTTTAAACTAGTCAATGTACCTTGTGAAGAATTTTCTGATGGTGTTGTTGTACATGCTAATCCTTCAGAATGGATGAATGAAAATGAAATGTTGTGATGGGTGGATAACATTTGGACATGATGAGCACAAAGTGGAAACAATTTATATTCTTTGTTGATTTTAAATTCATTTGCTGGCTATAAGACAGAACTTATAAAACACTGTTTTTGTAAAAAGCATACTGACTTAGCTCTGATTCCTAATGGTTTAACACCTCACTTACAACCTCTTGATGTTTCTTTAAACAAATTATTTAAAGTGAAAGTAAAATCAACCCTTTTTATTATATTATTTATATTATTTATTTTATTTTATTTATTTTATTTATTTATTTATATTTTTATATTTATATTTTTTATTTTTTTTATCATTTTTTTTTAATTTTATTAATTTAATCTTTTCAATAGATGCAAAAGATCTATAATAAGTGGTTTGATGAAGATATTAAAGAATACACTAAAAAAGGCAAATTGAAGCATCCTTCTTATTCTTTAGTTACTAATTGGATAAAAGAAGCATAGGAGGCTGTTGATATCAATTTAGTCAGAAAATCCTTTAAATGCTGTAGAATCTCAAATACAATTAATGAAACTAAGAATGATTTAATTTTTGACTTCACAAAAATTGATAGTAAAACCAACCCAGGATGAGGAATTGAAAGCCAAGAAGAGAAATTGGATAAAGAAGATGAAGAAAGTAATAATGAAGACGCAAATAAAAATAGATTAGTTTATAATAATTATTATCAGAAAGGTGAAGAATTGAGTATTCTTCAAGACTGGAATTAATATTTAATTAGTAAGTGGTTTTTATAGTTCTTATCTATGCCTATATTATTTTATTGAATAAAAAAGTTTATAACCAAAACTTTTATTTATATTATTATATAATAGTAGAAAAGGCTGATATAAGGTATTTATCATTTATAATAAGTTTTTGAATTGAAGGGGTGTAGTGACCTAGTGAAGTGGTCAGGTTGTCAACCCCCAAGTGGCAGGTCCAAAGTTCAAATCCCAGTGTTGACAGAAAATTTGAAAATTCTCTCTGTGTTATAGTTAACTGTCTCTCGCAATTGGTTAGAATAAGATACCTGTAATCTGTGTCACACCAGCATGACTGGCAGGTCACATAGCATTTGTGTAATGGTCATATGACATTGTCCTTTGGGACAAGGTCTGTAGTTACACAAAGGAATGCAAACTGGTACT